CGTTAGCATCAGAACCCAACCCATTAGCATCAGAACCTAACCCGTTAGCATCAGAACCCAACCCGCTAGCATCAGAACCCAGCTCGTTAGCATCAGTAACAAACCTGTTAGCATCAGAACCCAAGCCGTTAGCATCAGAACCCAACCTATTAGCATCAGAACCCAACCTGCTAGCATCAGAACCCAACCTGTTAGCATCAGAACCCAACCTGCTAACTTCAGAACCCAACTCGTTAGCATTAGACCCCAACTCGTTAGCATCAGAATCCAACCTGCTAACATCAGAACCCAGCTGGTTAGCTTCAGAACCAGAGTCGTTAGCATCAGTACCAAACCTGTTAGCATCAGAACCAGACTCGTTAGCATCAGAACCCAACCTGCTAGCATCAGAACCCAACCTGCTAGCATCAGAACCCAACCTGCTAGCATCAGAACCCAACCTGCTAGCATCAGATCCCAACCTGTTAGCATCAGAACCCAACCTGCTAGCATCAGAACCCAACCTGCTGGCATCAGAACCCAACCTGCTAACATCAGAACCCAACTCGTTAGCATCAGAACCCAACCTGCTAGCATCAGAACCCAACCCGTTAGCATCAGAACCCAACCTGCTAACATCAGAACCCAACTCGTTAGCATCAGAACCCAACCTGCTAGCATCAGAACCCAACCCGTTAGCATCAGAACAGAACTAACGATAACGCTAAATCTACTAACGCTAGCATCTCATTCATTCAAAACCCAAAATTCTGCATTTAGTCAGACAGAAAGTAGGTGGAGTCTTTTTGTTTGTGTAAAATTAATAATTTGTTGTGGATCTTTGAAAGTTGGACTGGTTCATTCCTGTGTGTGTGTGTTCTCCTATTTTGGCATCAGAGTGAGGACCGTTCCTCAGATTTACCATTGAAACTATGTGACGCCGAAAGCAAAATGGCTGCCCCTCATCCATTCAATACAGGTTAAATACAGTCCCGGCATGGGCAGGCACTACAGAGACCACCTGGTCAGAACCAGACCCTCATCAGAACCACATCCTCATCAGAACCATCAGAACCAGACCCTCATCAGAACTATCAGAACTAGAGCTTCTTTAAACATTTCATAGCAGCGTTTTTGCACAGTTCTGTTTATTTATTGGTTAGACGCCATTAAAACTCTTAATTCATTCTTTCAATAATTTATCACATTTTAATTTAAATCTATTAATGAACCACCTTTTTATTTCAAAAACCTTTTTGGACCTAAGTTATTGAATAAGTAAACATTTAAGCACAGAAACTCAAACATTTATAGTTTTTTTCTTTACCATTAGATTGGATGGTTGAAGGTTTTAATCTTTTAGTTTTTTTTTTAGAAACCCTCTGATATTTTATGCAACATTTTTAAAAACAAAAAGTGAGCAATCCATGAATTGAAAAAATATAATGAGGCATTAAAATAGTTAGAGATAAGCGGAGTGAGATGCATTTCTATTGGTCTGCTGGATGTTAGCAGCATTTTGATTGGTCCAGAAAAACTTCCTTTTAAAACCTTTGATTTAGAAATGCGTTTAAATATTTAATTTCTGGATAAATTTGTTTTTTTCAAATTCACTCCATACAGGAGGGACTGAAATAAAAGCTGTTTTTTAAAAATGATTTTTTTTATCATTTGTCAGTTATATTATGAAACTAAAGAAAGAGAAAATAAATGATCAATGGGAGTCCTCACTACAGATGGCAAGATCAGAGTGTGTGCATGTGTTTGGGGGGGCGGGGTCAACGTGTTCTCCACTTCCTGTTGTGTATCAGCTGTGCAGATGTGAATGATGACGTCCAGATGACTGATGTTCATATAAAAACTGCTGACTTCTCCACTTCCTGTTTTCTTTATTCCTGCCTGCTTTATTTTTACTCCCATCAGCCATCTTTGCTGAGTCATGTTCTCAGGACGAACAGCAGATGTTTTTCTTCTGATTGTTTCACAGCTGAATTATAATCCCTAAAAAAGTGGGTTTTTTCCTTATTGTTCCTCAGAAGCCTTAAATTAAACTCCGCCCCCTCAGTGAAGTATCGTGATCTAAATGCTAACAGAACATCGAAAAGGATTGAATTATGGTCCAGAAAGTTTCTAATTCTCTTTCTCAAAGATGGAATAAAGGCTACCATGTCTTCTAATCGTGTCACCAGTTCCTCCCTACTGGTCCCAGTAGAGCTTCCTCTTCTGGGTGTCAGGTCTCCACCAGTTGAACCAGTAAGATGCAGGACAGTCATCATAGTCTCCTCCTCTCTGACCCCCCCGGGAGGAAACTTCAGGTGG